AATAAAAGAGATCTAGTTATATGTTAGGCTAAAGTCAAGCTGTTACTATGTACACATTTTAATTGTGGGAAATTAAGAATAAAAGTTACATTAAATTAGAATGTTATTTTTTACTTATTTTATTTTAATATCATGTTTAGTATTTAGAATATAAGTTTATTATCATTCTAATTAGGTCAATTTACAATACATTTTTTACGATAATAATGTTAACTGACGAAATTTTATTTAAAATTATATAAAGACTCTCAAAGTTTAAAAAAAGATTGAACAATCTTTAAGTCTTTTAGGTTCTAAACATTTCGATGTACATTGTACAGGAATAGTTTTATGAAATATATATGTATATATACCGACCCCAGAATAACTCCCCAAATTAAAGCACCTAAAGTATTCACATGGAGTAAATGATTTCCCAGAAATGGAACACAGACACGAGTGATACTGAAATCTTGGTAATTCAACCAAAAAATGTCCACTGAGTTCATGAAAAGAGCCAATGAAAGCCATCCGTGTATCAGTTGGATTATCCATTTACGTAATCGTTGATACTCCTTTGACGTTCCTAACACTTCCAATGTGTTGTCCACTATGGAAAGTTTGTGTAAGCACATTTTTAATTCCTTTAAAAAAATCATATGCCTCGATTACGTGATGTAAAGAGAAATAATTAAAATTTTATGTTTTAATAAATATTATTATTAAAATAAATATAGTAAATGTAATAAAGAAAAAAATTATTGAAATGTGTAAGTAGCATTTGAAATGTAAAATTTAAAAAGTTATATTAATTTACGAAAATTATATTAAAAATTAATTTAAGAATGTGATATAAAAACAAATATTAATTTTACATTTTATCAAATACTTTATCCGCGACGAATAATAACAGAAACATTAAAACTGATCTGTTCTAAAGCCTTTTATAAATTGGTATTTGTCTATAATTGTCAGAGATTAGGCCAATTGTCTCTGAAGGAAATTAAATAAAGAATAAGAAATTTAGAAAATTAAGAAAGAGTAGGGATTTAAAGTATATTTTAAGACTCTTACCTTAAAACGAAACAAGCTAACAAGAATCGACACAATTGCGGAGGTCATTATTATCACATTGGGCCAAGACATGTATACGAATGGAGTATGACTATTGTAGACTAGATAGTAAAAGAAATACGTAAAAAGACTCCATTTAGTAAAAAAATATAGACAAGTGAGATATGGCCTAGGTTGTCCGACAGGATATTCAAGAAAGCCTAAACTGCAGATCGAGCCAATGATCAATAATGGTGCCAGCGCTGTCTGGATCGTCTTCGTCATCGTTTCTGGTTAAACGGCTATATGTTCTTGAATTACATCTTATTGCGCAAGACACAAACACATTTTAATATCTTTCAGAATAATTTTGAAAATAGTTTTATTATACTTCCTTTTCGTAGATCCTCTAAGAAACTTTGCAAGAATTACACTGTAAAATACATCGGAAGTACCATTCAACCAGCAAGTATTGAGCGATAGAATAAATATAGAGATAATCAAGATTAGATTGCTTTTTCATCGTGCAATTATTTAACATATATATTATTACAAGGCATAAATGGTAGGAAACACGAGTATTCTTGCGACCTTTATACTAGACTGAAGTGTATTTAATGTATGCTTTTTATTTACGTGACTTTTGACGACATGTAACAACACGTGTTGACTTGAATTGAAGCTAATAGCTTCGATAAGGCATTTTATACCTAGACATTAATGCGCACAATATAATACTTTTGTAAATTAAAGATTCATGAAATTATTGTTTGCAATAGTAATATAATTTATTAATGTAAACATAAAACTTAATTTAGAAACGTACTATTAATACATTTTTCCTATATTATTATATATGTATGTACATTATAGCATTTATTTTTATAAATTTTATAGATATTATTTTATAGATAAAGAAAAAGTTTATATCTAGGTATATGCAATTTTATGTAAATCAAATTCGATTTAGATCTATCGTTTTGTACCTTATATTTTTTACCTGTTAGCTAATTCTTTCATTTTTCTTTTTTGAATTAAAGAAAAACTCAATTTTTTAAATATAGATACTGCATTTTTTATGGGATAATCTATTATTTGAGAAACAACTGAACAAATATAATGTAATATTACTGCTATTATTATGATATGATTAAAGAAAATATCAGAATGGGTGTTTATAGTAATTGTCACTCTAAAAAGAAGTTTTTACGACTATTTTAATAATTAGCTTTTTAGCAGTTTACAATCACATTCTAATATATTTTTACTAATATATGTATATATCTATTATATATATTTTTAAAGTATTTAAGTATACATGCTTATACATATACAAATATACATGTTTAGTTTATATATTATATGTATATGTATGTATGTATGTAACTTGATTATAAAAATATTTATAGATTTTCTAAAAATTTGTACATAATTGTATTTAACATATCGACTGTTTGTGACAAACGGTTGACATGATAAAAATATTGTGGTGTTTTCACATTTATTGAAAATATGTTTTACTATTTAATTATTATCATACTAATATTCTATAAATCTCTAAGTAATGTTTAATTATATAATATAATATTACTGTGGTGTAATTTCATAAAATGTTTGTTTTCTTTCTTCTTTGACAGCAAATTACCAGCCATTTATTGGGATGATATATACTTTCATTTGTACCATGATAATTACGAACGTTAGAATCGTTATGCAAAACTAGAAAAAACGCATTAATTAATTGACAAACAACAATTTATTGGGATGCAAAACTATAAGGTTAATTGCAAAGAAAAGCTGCTACACTTACCATTATAGTAGCAATATAAAAAGTAATAATAGTAACAGATATGATACAGATAAGTTTAAAAGAATTTTGGTATTTCAGTATTTTATGTTTTGATATAAAAATACAATGAGAGAGAGAGAGGGGGGGGGGAGAGAGAGACATATAAAGGTAAACCTTTCGTAAGTACTCGTTTCCAAAATAGAAAAGATTCATTCCAGTTAATTTCAATGGATGATGCATTATTTGTAAAGTAAACTGATAAACCTGTAGATGAATAGTTGCTGTTCAAGTTTAATTTATTTATTTGATATTTATTTCTTGCATTTTTGTGAAAATGTACTTACCTCCTTCCATGTATCAGTGTACTGAAGGGTATTTGTCAATCGGGTAATTATTTGGTTAATTTCGTTTGCCTAAAATTTAGAATTTATTATCATTTGATATGTATTTTTATCTTACAATTGAATTGGTGATTGCAAAAACCACATAAGTCCAAAATTTTTGAAATTGACTTTATTGTATAAATGGGTTTGTCTAGGATCGGCACATAATGTGTGAAAAGGTCACATTAATTCATGGCTGCGAAGTTAGTAAAAGGATTAAATATTGGGTAAGTATGTATAGGGTTGAAAGAGAGCTTTGGGCAGAAATCACATGAGTCATTTTACTTACAGTAATAATTTACAATAATTTAATTTACTCTTTCGTCATTTTTACGATGAGACAAATTTTGGTTTGTACTATTTTACACATGAATTTAATTAGTTTTTCATTACTTTGTGGTTTCAGTTCTGTTTCCAATTTTTTTCCTTTTTTTTCAATTTAATAATAAACTATTTCAAATAATAAAACAATTTTAATAATAAAACATTTCACTTAAAATTATTATTCATTGAGTGTAGAAACGACAGTGAGTAGTTTCATCTAGTTTTTTACTTAAAAAAAATGCATGCAATGAAAATCAACAATTATCAGATTATGTTTCTGTATAGTAGTTTCAAGGATTGAGAACAAGAAGACCCATAAAGTCAGGTATTTAAAGTATAGTACAGTATTATTACTCTTCTGTAAAATTTGAAAAATGGGATTTACGTGGTTTTTTAACTCACCGATTCGACCAGGTTAAATAGTTTTACCTTAATCGTGATATTTTCACACATGTAATTTACAGCATATACTCTTATCAGTATTACGAAAATCCATGAACTGAGATTAAACCATATGTGTTTATACGGTAACTGTAATATTTCTTTTGGAAGTTCCTGCATTAATGCCATGCAAATAGCGTAACACAATGATGCCATAAACACAAGATATACTGTCATTCCGAAAGTTATCTGTGTACCGAAAATGAAATTCAATTCGCGAGCAATGCGACATAATTCTAAATGAAGATGCCTGCCGAAAAATATAGATCTTTAATATTAATAATATTAATGTATAGGTATTGCAAAAGTCTATAGAAAATAATTATCTAATTAGTTTTAAAATTAAAGTTCTATCAAATTTTATTACTAAAATAACACCAAGTTGATAATTTGTTCGAACATGCGTTGCGATTTACATTGAAATCCATAATGTTCGCTTGTAATTAGTATATAAAGTGTATTGATGAAGAACGACCATAGATTTTTTCCATGCACATTTTAGACCATGATCTTCCACTAATAAGCATTGCATATGCTCATTTATTTTGTCAAATCTATTACCAGTTAACCTGTATCAAATAACATCTCTGAAACTATATTTAAGTGTATCACAAAACGTTAGTTTTTATTTAAATTGCATGCTTTTTAAAGTGTATAACTTAAATTCTTTAAAAAATAAAAACCAAGGAAAAAAAGTATATTTATAAACAATTTTTTATATTATAAATGTCAAAAATAATTATATTTGTGATAACTGTGTTGTTGTTGTTTATTTATACACAACACATATACAGGGTGTTTCGAAGTTTTTTGACCGCCGTTCACGAGAAGGTGGAGAGGACTAAGACAAATAGAGAAGTTCTGTACCATTTTCCAATTGGTGGATTAGTTATCGAGATATTGAAGTTCAAAAATCGCCGTATTAGCCCAACCTACTGGCAAATGTAAGCGCGCGGTGAGATGCGTCCGCCCATCGGCCGCCGCTCGAGGCAGTGCGCTTACGCGACAGGCAGTGGCGTGCCTTCCTACCCTTTGCTGCGTACCGCCTCGAGCGGCGGCTTGATGTGCGGACGCATCTCACCGCGCGCTTACATTTGCCAGTAGGTTGGGCTAATACGGCGATTTTTTAACATCAAAATCTCGATAACTAGTCCTCCAATTGCAAAATGGTAAAGGACTTTTCTGTTTGTCTTAGTACCCTCTAACTTCCCGTGAGCGGCGGTCAAAAAGCTGCAGAATGAACACCCTGTATCTACATACATGCATACATGTTGCAAATATGATACAAACCATAATAAGAAGATAAATAGTAACTCCATGAATGCATTGATATTAATACAGTAATTTAACATAAAAGCTATAAATAATGCCCAAGTTTCATGGAAATTTATCCACCACATTGCATTAGAGAGATTGATCAAGAAACTATATATAATCCATCCAATTATCACTAGTTTCGAATAGATATGTGTTCTTTGATACATCATTGTAACACCCAATTCTTCCAAACAATTATCCACAGCAGAAAGCTTCTTCAAGCTGATGTCAAGTCTCTAAAATAATAATACGGCGACAATTAAAAATGTATTTCTGAGACAATTATTTATTTTTAATGTAAAACAAAGTTACAATATATAATGATACACATTTGGAAATTTTATTTAAAATAAAATTAAAAAGTTTAAGTTATTTAATAAAAAGTACTACATTGAGAGAAAGAGAGAGAGGGAGAGATTAAAAAAGTTTTTATATAATTATTATATTAATAACTTCAATGATATTAAATATAAATTATATTATATTTAAGTATATATTGTACATAAATGTAAGAAAGACAAAATATATAATTATAGATACCTTTTGATGATAGAAACTCATGATCACAGATATAATAGTGTTAATTGCGGTAGCTGCCCAAATAACACTATTTGTGATATTTCCAGCTAATATTTTCCATGTAAAAACAGTTATTGTATAGTAAAGAAGGTAAGCATAAGAAAACCAGATAATCAATTGATATAACAAACTTAAATATGCAATCCATCGAATCTTTGGGTTTGGTTGTTTCATCGGATAGGCCCTTAAACCCATAATGAAACATACAATCAAAAGAGGATGTACAACTTGTTGGATAGTGACTACCATGATTACATAACATGCACCAACATTAACTGTTCAAACTTATTTACTGAGCGCATCACGACTGTGCTGACTTGCAACGATGGTGGCTCTTTATGATTGCAATATATATTTTTTGTAGCACTCACGTAAATTAAAGCGAATGATCCTCTCTAATCAACGAGAGAAATAATTCATCGTTAATGTGAACCATTGTAGTAATGTTTCTAACTTATTTCTTGCGTGTTTTTTTAAATGCAAAACAAGCATATTTAATATTCGCTTTGTGATGTTGTTTTATATAATTTTTTATTATCATATGTCTTAATAACATTATAGTGCATGATTTTTAAACTTATTAGAAAATTGTTATGTTTATTAGTTTCTTACAAATCCACTTCCGTTTGTGTTATATCAGACAATTGTATTATGATAATCATAAATGTTGTAATTGTAATGACAAACTGGAAAAAGTATAAATTAAAGTTTAATGTCGAAAGGATTCAATAATATAAAAAAGACTGTGTTGTAGTTATAGACATTTTACAATAATGAATTGCAAATTTTTGTTATACAAAAATAAACATAATAAAAATACACTGTAAGATATTTAAAAAAAGATGGGGTCGTGTTTAATTTGCAGGATGGTATATGTAAACCTAACAAAATTAATAAGTTATATATAAATCCAATACTAACTTTTCGTATAAAATTATTGCCAAAATAGAAGAAACCTAGTCCAGTGAACTTTAGCGGATGATGCATTATTTGCAATGAAAACTGATAAATCTATGTGAACAGATTGAATTATTATTAATTGATTAAAATAATTTATTTCGGACGCCCCTTATTATTAAAATCTTTTTACCTCATGACGAACATCTGTATATCGAAGTGAATCTGTTAATTGATGAATTATCTTATCCATTTCATTAGCCTAAAAATGATGATTTATTATTATACAATAAATATTATATAAGTTTATTAATACATACGTAATATTATATGTATATAATTAATATAGACTATATAATCATATAATCTATATAATCATATATTTATAAAATATTTAAAAATATGCGTATACATGCGTGTACATATACGACTAGAAATACAGCGAAGTTTACTTGGACATTTACCTTATCGCTAGTTATCTCACACATGTAATTAAAGCTGAAGAGTCTGGCCAAATGCAGAGAAATCCAAAAAGATATACCAAACCAAGAGATTGGCGCATATGTATACCGATCTCTTGTTTGTATATGCATGTAAGTGTAGTAACATAATCTTGTCACATATATTAGAAAGGCTACCATTTCTGTAATCATTTGTAGTCCAAATATTTTATTTAATTCACGAGCGATTTGACACAATTCTAAGTGGAGATGCCTAGTAAAAAACAAAATATATTTTTAAATTATTTGGTTATTCTTTTAATAAATATAAAATTTCCGTTAAACTTGGTATACAGGGTGCTACGCAACATATTGACTTCCGGTCATGGGAAGGTAGAGGGGACTAAGACAAACAGAAAAGTATTGTACTATTTTGCGCTTGGACGAATAGTTATCGAGATACGAAATTTTAAAAATCGCCGTATTAGCCCAACCTACTGGCGAATGTAAGCGCGCGGTGAGATGCGTCGGCCTGG